CGAAAAGTAGTATGAAAATAGGTAACAGTTTTAAGAGATATCTCAATTACATATTTCTATACTATAAGAATCAACAATTACTTATACTTAGTTTCCTAAACAATCCAGGGCATCTAATCCATACTTCCTGGGAGGGGGGTAACCCTCCAAGTTTTTTTTTTCACTGACCCGAGTTGTGAATATTTCATATATTTATTGTCATAATTTGTGGACCGTGCCTAAACATTTATCCTCTCCTAAGCTGTTTAGTCCACCTCACCAAGAATTTCCTCCCAAATCTAACGCTATGCAACTTCCCATGCATTCACATGATTGGGATGTTAAAAAATATATGCTAACCAAAGAAAAAATATCTGCAAACTCCCTAACCCCTTCAAAACAAACAATCCTCATTGCTATATCTCAAAGGACTTACTGTGCCATCATACTTGGCGTACTCAATGAAGGGGTTCTTGATGCCCTCGGGGTACTGCTGAACCAGGCGTGTGAGGAGGGATACTGGAGGGGGTTGGTGGGGCCGGGAGATGTCAGTTTGGTCTACGTTGCTTATCACAGCCTTGCGGGAGAAGAGCTCATTCAGCTCGTTCTCTGTGAAGAGAGAGAATGGCTAATTAAGGGGGAGGTAATGGAAGATGGGCATGGAAGGAGAAAAGAAAGGCTGAACAGATAATAGAAAGATTAATCAAATAATAACAGGAAAAGCTACAAAAGCAGCAGTAATGATAACAATAAAAACATGAATAACACTATTGCAACAACAAGAGAACAACAAACCTAATAAATGATTAAAGATATAAATATAACCAGCAATAAAAAATCAATCCCAATCCATTCATAAAGGGGGAAACATCTCTGCCAACAAAGGGAAGAAAACCTACCATTAATCTGTGCTGGGTTGTGCTTCCACGTAATCCTCTTGATCTTAGAAGCATTTTTCTTCTCCTTGCGCATGATCTCCAGACGCTGGTCTGTGTATGACCGCTGACGATGGCCCACGAAGTCCATGTCTGTAGGGTAATAATTTAGGTGTTATTTATCGTGTGTTTGTGTGATTGCATGTGAGATGTTAAAGTACATGGAAATTATGACTTAACATTAGGTGACTGTATTGAGGTCTTGAGGTTCTTAGTATTAATCAAGCCTCCATTGTTTGGAAACAGAGAGAGAGAGAGAGAGAGAGAGAGAGAGAGAGAGAGAGAGAGAGAGAGAGAGAGAGAGAGAGAGAGAGAGAGAGAGAGAGAGAGAGAGAGAGAGAGAGAGAGAGAGAGAGAGAGAGAGAGAGAGAGAGAGAGAGAGAGAGAGAAAAAGAAAGAAAGAAAGAAAGAAAGAAAAGAAAGAAAGAAAGAAAGAAAGAAAGAAAGAAAGAAAGAAAGAAAGAAAGAAAGAAAGAAAGAAAGAAAGAAAGAAAGAAAGAAAAAGAAAGAAAGAAAAAGAAAAAAGAAAGAAAGAAAGAAAAAAAGAAAGAAAAAGAAAGAAAGAAAAAGAAAGGAAGAAAGGAAGAAAGAAAAAGAAAGAAATAAAGAAATACAGAAAGAAAAAAAAGAAAAGAAAAAGAAAGAAATAGAAAAAAAAAGTGAATGGTCTCCGTTTGCTTTTTCTTACTTATATGTATGTTTGACTACAAAACATTTCATATCAGATCCAAGATGTCTCAGATTTTGTTACCGCTAATTCTGGCTTTCACTCCATAAAAGCTACACTGTTCCTGAAGTTTCTTATAGTGCCAAGCTACTCTGGTTGCTTTTCACTCTCTCTAACCTATGCTGTTGATTAGTGTGTCTCATATATGCAGTAATCTTCAAAACTATATTTGCATAACTCATCTAAATATATAGCAGTTTCTCTGGCACTTGCTATAAAATCAAAATAAAATAAGCTGAAAATTAACTCTTAATTGTGTTTATACATACTTGTCAGAACAAGTGCTCATTCACCAAGTTACTCTTTTCCTTGACTTTTGGAGAGACGATTATATATTGTTTTATTATTTCTATTGTTATTCATTAGTTTATAAGATTATGGTGGTCATGATAATAACTATTGATACTAGTGATACTAGTAAAATTACAGAGGACAAAACATCCATTTTTTGTCATATGTAGCTACTGGATAAAACAAAGGATAAAAATAATGCCAACTTGCACACAAAAATATCACACTTGCCTGATGCGATCTCAAGGGAGTGGGGTGGCGGCTCATCCTGAATGTGTGGGGGAGGAGAGTCTGAATCGGCAAGGCAGGGGAACTCCGCCACCGATGCTGCTGATGGCTCATTCTGTACCACCACCTCGCACAACCCTGCAATGGATGTCCTTTTGTGAGATGATGTTTTGTGAAGGCTGGAGGTGAAGATGCTGGTGTCTAATACTATTACCACTACCACTACTATTACTACTACTACCACTTCTACTATTACTCCACTACTAGTGCTACCACAACCACTACTACTACTACCACCACTACCAATACTATTACTAGTACTACTACTACCACAACCACTACTACTACCACCACCACCACTATTTCTACCTTTACTATTATCAGTACTGCTACTACTTCTACTACTGCTACCACCACCACCACTACTACAACTGCTACCACACCACACACTACAACTACTAACACCAACACCACTAGCGCTACCACCACTACTACTACTAATAATACTAGTAGAGATGTCCTTTTGTCATACATTGTGGTAAGTTTAAATTTCCAGAAAGACGTACCTGGAATCTAATTATGATAATTTATGACAGTTACTGATGGTATTAATAAAGTCCCCAACAACAATATAGGAGTTTTTTTTTTATTGTTTCTTGTGTTATATCTATACCTATTATTTGTGTAAGGCTAGTCAAATGCAAAAAATGAAAAGGATGACAATGTTCACCACCAAATATATGTATTCTGATTCACGGAAAGGAAAGGATAAAAGAAATAGAAAAGGAGAGAAAAAAGGGAAAAGAAGAAAAGAAAAAAGATACAAAAGAGAGAAAAAAGAAAAGAAAAAAGAAAAAGAAAAAAAGAAAAGACTAAAAAGAAAAAAAAAAAAAAGAAAAAAGAAAGAGAGAAAAAATTAGAGAAAGAAAAAAAGGAAGAAAGAAAGAAAGAAAGAAAAATCAAAGTCATCTTAACCTTAACTGTAAACCTAATCTGTACTATAACTAATCAACTATAGTAACATTTATTAACATCATTATCTGACATCTTGTCTTCCTTACCCTGATTTACCTGTAACTGTACCACCTATTTTAAATTTTACTAATTACTTCTAAACAGCTCACCTGTATACCTCTAATAAATCACATCATCTTGACCTCCTCTTTAACTAATCTTAATAACCTTTGATTAATTTGTAATCTAATTAACTTGTAAGTAAAACACTTGCAAGGACTTTAATGATGCTCCCCTGAATGAAATTATGATATGATGATGCAACTAATCTATTTTTGCTTTAACCGCTAATTATAGTTTAGAATCAGTGCTACCTTCTAGCAGAAACATTAGCTAGACATTTTGTTTCCCTACAACCAGGAAAGAATCAAGACTAATCATAACAAGAACACCTATAATGAATGAACAGTTATATTTCATTAATTTCCAAAGTCTATTACAGAACTAAACAGAAGTTCAATCATCTGGGAACTGCCGATAAGAGCATCAAGTAGTGTTGTGGCCTCCATGCTTCATGCTCTAGCAAAGACCAACAAGCCTTGGCTGTATAGGCATATGTTTTGGATAGACTAATCTTGGCTTGTTTTACAATAACAATAATGACAACAATAACAACAATAGAGTTCTACAAGGCCATACAGATTTGTTGAATTGCTGTAGCTGCCCTGTTTAACATCTAGTTGTATAGTATGGGAAATATGGTATAGCTGGTCCTTCTAGCATATGCTACCCACAACTCAGATAATAAACAGTGCTTGAAATCAATGGATCACTGAAAGCTATGACACTATCAGATGTAGTGTTTCCATCACAAATTGGAAACAATGAAAGGTAAAACATATTTAGGTATAATGTTTCCATCACAAATTGAAAATAAAGATGGACAAATGTTTCAAATTATGATGGCCTCATACAGATTGCCTTTACTTCTGTGAAGTCTATGCCTGAGTAAAGACCAACAAACCTCTGCCCAAAACATCGTCTCAAAATAGACCTTAAATTCCTTCTAGATTGTTCATCTTCAGGCCTTCATAATCTGGGCACTTACTAGGAAATGAGAGGATAAGAATGGACAGGACGAGCCAGGATAGGTCAGGCTAGGGCAGGCCTGGATAGAGGTAGAGAGGACAGAAGCAAATAGAATACACTGATAAGACAGAGCAGGGATTGGACCTAACCCCCCCCCCAACCCTCTCACTCTCACCCCCTAATTAAACCTCACCTCCTCCACCTTCCCCTCCTTTAATTCACTCTCGAAGGGCACCCTCACCTGTGTCATCGCTCGTCACGTACGAGTTCTGAATATGCGACAAAATCCACTGCCTGTCGTCATATGTAGCCATTTCCCCCTGCGAGAGTCTATGGCCTGCTACATCACCATCACGGGGAAGGGAGAGGGTAGTGGAAAGGCCCCTCTGCCATACTCCTTCGCCTCGGCCACCTTATCCGAGAGAGAGAGAGAGAGAAGAGAGGGGAAAAGGAGAAAAAGAGGGGAATCTTGTATCAAAGGCGATCCTCCTCCTCCGTCACAACAATCGCTCTGGGATGGTCCTCGTCGCCGGGCTGGTTTTACTTAGGAATGTCTCCGCTTTGGCGGCTCGATTGGTGCCTATTTAACGTAGATCTTAGAGTTTTGTTGGTATTTTTGGTTAGATTTTAATGATTTATTTGGCATAAGCTGATTTTCATGTGTGGTAAGTTAGTTTTATTGTCTTGGAGTTGACGTGCATGAGTCTCTGAGGTGAGGTCTTGTCCAAAGTAAAATAAGACATGTTTCAAACCATAACATGCGTTTACATGTATTTTCTGTCTATGTATACCTGTCAATTTGGAAGTTTGTCTGTGTTTATCTGTCAATATGGAAGTTTGGCTGTGTCTATCTGTCGATTTGGATATTTATTCTACCTGTCTATGTTTGCGTATTAGACTGTCTGTCTTTCGGTTTCTCTATTTGTATGCCTATTATGTTATCTGTATGTTTGTCGCATCTATCTATTTAGTGAAATTATCATCATCTCTGCTTTTTATCTGTATCATAAGTAATGAAGTTCAGTGGCAATCATAATGACTGGCGTTTCCTTAAAATTCTCTCTCTCTCTCTCTCTCTCTCTCTCTCTCTCTCTCTCTCTCTCTCTCTCTCTCTCTCTCTCGTCTCTCTCTCTCTCTCTCTCTCTCTCTCTCTCCTCCTTTCTCTCCCTTCTCTCTCCTCTCTCTCTCTCGCTCTCTCGTTCTCTCTCTCTCATCCTCTCTCTCTCTCTCTCTCTTCTCTCTCTCTCTCTCTCTCTATTCTTCCTCAACTCCTCTCTCTTCATCTCTGTCTCCTCTCTCTCTCTCTCTTCTCTTTTCTGATCCGTACGATTGTATTTCGTTCTATTCTCTTCTCTGCGGGCATCCCGGCCCGCCCCTCT